GTGGTTGCGTAGACAGACTAGCAGTGTCTTTTAAAGCAATACCATTTCATATCCCTCTAGGTTGGTCTCATGAGGAAGGAATTCTACCTGGAAATCTTTGAGCATTGGCTGGCCTTTGTACATGAGTGTGTGCTCATTCCATACTTTCCATATCAGCAGGGACACATGGATACACTCTTTAGATATTGTACAACATAAGGGATCTTCTTCTTCTTCTTCTTCTTCTTCTTCTTCTTCTTCTTCTTCTTCTTCTTCTTCTTCTTCTTCTTCTTCTTCTTCTTCTTCTTCTTCTTCTTCTTCCCCCTCCTCCTCCTCCTCCTCCTCCTCCTCCTCCTCCTCCTCCTCCTCCTCCTCCTCCTCCTCCTCCTCCTCCTCCTTCTTCTTCTTCTTTCTTCTTCTTTCTTCTTCTTCTTCCCTCTTCCTCCTCCTCCTCCTCCTCCTCTTCTTCTTCTACCTCTTACCTCTTCCTCCTCCTCCTCCTCCTGCTCCTCCTCCTCCTCCTCCTCCTCTTCTTCTTCTACCTCCTCCTCCTCTTCCTCCTCCTCCTCCTCCTCCTCCTCTTCTTCTTCCTCCTCCTCCTTCTTCTTCTGCCGGAAACAGAAGGATACAGCCTGTTTCATTACATGGGTTTAAATCTGTTCAGCAGATTTATTGAGAATGCTTTAATCATTTGACCTCAGGCTGCTGCAGGGTTTGTTTGTAACTTTGGGTAATTTCCTTGTCTCATGCATACATGATAACATACAATTAATAATATCTTTGGCACCTAAGCTATTAAGATTAAATGTTGTTAAATGAGACAAAAAACTTTCCTCACTGTTTGAAAGAATGAATAACTAACTATTAGCTGCTATTATAGCCATGAGGGTGAGGATCATAAAATTGTATGAATTCAGCAGATATTTATTGAATTTCCAGTAAAACAAGGCAATGTTTTATGTCACTGGGGCACATTAGAGAAAACAGACTGTATACATGCACATACACTCAAACACATGTTGACATGGTAGAGCTTGCATTATTGTGTGTTAAGCCATTCTGTACATTTTGGTTTAGCCCAGAATTCTGTGGAGACTATGTTATTAAATGATTTGATATCATGTCCAGTAGCAATTTAAAAATAAAAATCTGATACATCCACATTTTATATTTTGAATATTTATAGAATGTAGATTTCCAAAAGCATATTCTATCTAACAATAAGCCGTTAGGATTTAAGATTGAACTAACCTTGTTTTTCCAAGTTGACAGGGGAGAAAAACCCACACAGTTTTAAGTGTATTTGTGAGACAGAGCATTTGAATTAGGGATTGTCTCAGAAAACCTTTCACATATGGTGCCCATATCTGTGAAATCGCCTAAGGGAATTAAAAAAAAAAAAGCAACCACACATCCTGTGTGTCACTCTCTGAGATCAATGTATCCCCTCAGCAAAGCTGTCTCTAAAATGTGCCTTTTGGCCTCTGGCCTGCACTGAGAGATGCTCTGTGTCACACCAGGCAATGCTGAGGTATCTAGCAGGAATATAAAGGTTCATGTTGTTGCACTTAGCTAGCAGTTTTTCCCAGGCTTCAAAAGGACATTCTGTGGACTCCTATGATGTAAGAGGGTGTTCCCACTTCAGCTGTGGCCAGCAGATGTGATGTGACCATTTTATGTCCACGTGTGCTGATAAAAGCAAGGAAAATGTGAATAATGGAAAAGAATGGCAGACAGGGTGGGTTTTGGTTGTGTTTTTTGTTTTTTTTTCTTGCTGGCAAGGGAGATTTTTAAACGTAAGCGAAACACACACTTAAGCTTCTCCCTGGTGAAGTGCTTTAGTCCCCTTGAAAATTTTCACTCTTGTGAGAATGACTCATGTCTTGGAAGTGACAAGTTCCAAGTCTGGTGCTTGCAGCACCTTTAAGCAATGGTTCATGGAGCCCTGGAGGAGTGTTCAGTGTCCTGCCAGCTGTGGTAATTAACAAGGGATGCTGGTCTTGCTTGCCTGTCACTAGAAAGGAAGCATGTCTCTGTTTTCCCAGAAGCCTCAACTTGCCATTCCTGTTATGGCTGCTTTTCCCAGGCATATACTTTCCTAGACAGCTGCTAACAGTGGAACACAGTTTGTGTTCTGTTTTATTTTTTCTTCCAGCTTCCTATGTTAGTGATCCTTTACACTGCATGCATTTCTGATTTCTAAAACCATTTCCATGTACTCGATTAGCTCTTCAGCAAAGCCCTGTGGAAAAAATCTTTGATAAGTATCAATACCACCATTTTTTTCAAGTGGTATCCGCAAGTTAGAATCTGGTCTCTAGATTGCTTTGCGTTTCCTAAGGTAAACCGGTTAGGGTGAAGCAGACTCTAAAATGCATAATGACAAACAAGAAACAAGAAGGGAACAAACAAAAATCTGTAACTTATTTGGGCATGTGTATATGCATGCGTGTACGTGTACACACATGCACCCACACATCAGTAATACTGGGGCTTGAACTCAGGGCCTTATGCTCTTGCTTGGCTTTTTTGCTCAAAGCTCTCATTTTGACCACGTTCAGCTTTTTGGTGGCTAACTGGAGATTAGAGTCTCATGGGCTTTTCTGCGTGGGCTGTCTTTGAACCATGATCCTCAGATCTCAGCCTCCTAAATAGCTATGATTTCAGACATGGAACCACCAGTGCCCAACTAGAATTCAATTCTTGCTCATGGAAGAGTCCAAGCCAGGTATCCATATTTGTGAGTGACTCCTGTCTTAATGACAATTCAAGAGCCAGGCTTCTTCTTTCTTGGGTCTATGCAGTGCCCTAGGACCTTGTTAATACACATTTAGGCCTGTGGAAGAAAAATAACTCTCATAGGAGACACAACGTCCCTCTTCAACTGGCCCATCTCAGATTTCCAGACTGCACCATATAGTTTGTGCTTGACATGGAGAGGTATAACACAACCTTTGAGCACCATACTAAAATCTCCCACAATTGAGGACTGCTTCCTTGTACAGTTACAAGCAATGACATGGGAATACATGAGCAATATCTTTCTAGAGCTGAGCAAGGTGATGTCCATGCAAGTGTTTACAGTCCAGAGCATCTGTGTTCTACTGGACATTCAAATGTAGGGCTTGATGTGTATTAGAAAGTTATTATGGCATCCTCAGGAGGAGCCTTTACAGAGTTACTTGTATTCATTTAACATAAAAGTATTCAACGTTCAAAACTTAGCTGGAAGTACTCGTTGTACTTCATGGTATCCTCAAAGATACCTTGAAGGTCTGAAGACAGGAAGATTACATTTATACCAATAGTGTCCCTTAGAAGATAGTTCTTAGCTCTATTGTTAAAAGAAAGGGAAAATTCAGTCTTCAAGAGAAAAAATAAGCCTGTTATCCTAGCCACTTAGGAGGCTGAGATCTGAGGCTGGAGGATTGAGAATGCAAGTGTGGTCAGCAAAGTCCATGAAAGTGTGAGACTCTGTTCAAGCTCTAGTGCCAGCAAACGGAAAAAAAGAAGGAATGAGAAAGAAAAGAGGGAACATAGAGAAATGTCTTACCTGCTGGTTCTTGAGTTGTCTAAAAATCTTATTGGGGAAAAAATGAAAAATCCAGGGTGAGGACAAAATTATTAAGATCAGAGGTAGTTTTCATTTCTAATGTTCTAGGCTTTTATCTTTTTTATGTACTTTTTTCATTTGTGAGGCTTGAACCCAGAGCCTCAGCACTGTCCCTGAGCTTTTTCACTCAAGGCGAGCTCTCTACCACTTTGAGCCACAGCACCACTTCCAGTTTTCTGGTAGTTAATTGGAGATAAGAGTCTCAAGGACTTTCCTGTCAGAGCTGGCTTTGAACCCTGATCCTCATATCTCAGCCTCCAGAGTAGCTAGGATTATAGGCATGAGCCATCAACACCTGTACTAGAGCTTTTAAAGTAGACGCTCATCTGCTGGCATCAAACATGCTGTTATTTCTTTTTTAATGTACTCTTTTCTTTTTCCTTCCTTCCTTCCTTCCTTCTTTCCTTCTTTCCTTCCTTCCTTCGCCAGTCCTGGGGCTTGAACTCAGGGCCTGGGCTCTGTCCCTGAGCCTTTCTGTACTCAAGGCTAGCGCTCTACCACTTGAGCCACAGTACCACTTCCAGCTTTTCCTGTTTATGTGGTACTGAGGAATACAGGGCTTTATGCATGCTAGGCAAGCACTCTACCACTAAACCACATTCCCAGAGTTGTGCTCATTATGTCTAAAAAATATTCATTTTGTGCTTACTGTGTTTCAACAAGGGTTCTGACTCCCCAGTATCTAGCCAATTAATTTTGGGGATGACTGACAGAAGCAAGGATGGCATCTCAAAATCACAAGGACTTTGAAATGTATTTGTTTAGAATCTCTAGGGATGAAGCCTTATCACTGTAACTGGAAATTTGGAAATAACCAAGCATAAACACTCACATTTAGAAGATTAAAACAAAAGAACACCCTGAGGCCCAGTGGGGTCAGATGAGTCACACAAAGTCAAGAGCACAGAGCTGGTTTATCACCAAGGACTAGCATCCAGGTATTCTGATCTCCACTCTCAGCTAGCTGCATGGAAAATATGTAAATTGTGGGATTTCACTAGAAATGAGATGAAATCACACATGAGAAACTTAGCAACATTTTGTGTGGATTTTTAGCTTTTCAAGGTCCTGACAGAGAGCAAGAACAAAGATCTCTTGGGGCTTTAGGACATTTTGGTTCTATCTCTAGCTGTGATAACATACATAAAAAGCAGGATGAAACCAAAAACTGATGCCTCCAGGTATTTGTGTTTACATTATGATGTGCAGTTGAATCCTCACCTCTTGGAGAAAAGCATCCTTAGTCTATGCCTTTCTTGCAGATGGACCAAGTGGGACCACACATAGGTGACGTGAAAAATTTAGTGTTATGACTCCTGCACCCTGTCTTGTATAATCTTCCTCCAAGTCTATAACAAACTTAAGTCAAGAATGGTTAACCAAGAGTGTCATTTGATTGCATTTACAGATGCATTGTGAGAGGTTTCTATGCATCCTGAGGATAATTGGAACCACACTTTTTGGAGTCTCACTTCTCCTTGGAATCACAGCTGCTTATATTGTTGGCTACCAGTTTATCCAAACGGATAATTATTATTTCTCTTTTGGACTGTATGGTGCCTTTTTGGCATCCCACCTCATCATCCAAAGCCTGTTTGCCTTTTTGGAACACCGGAAAATGAAAAAATCCCTGGAAACCCCCATTAAGTTGAACAAAAAGGTTGCTCTCTGCATTGCTGCCTATCAGGAAGATCCAGACTACTTAAGGAAATGTTTGCAATCTGTGAAAAGGCTCACCTACCCAGGGATTAAAGTGGTCATGGTCATCGACGGGAACTCTGACGATGACTGTTACATGATGGACATCTTCAGTGAAGTCATGGGCAGGGATAAATCAGCCACTTATATCTGGAAGAACAACTTCCATGAAAAGGGTCCGGGTGAGACAGATAAGTCCCACAAGGAGAGCTCACAACACGTCACCCAGTTGGTGTTGTCCAACAAGAGTATTTGCATCATGCAAAAATGGGGCGGAAAAAGAGAAGTCATGTACACAGCCTTCCGAGCGCTGGGACGAAGCGTGGATTATGTACAGGTGGGTCTCCAAAACGCCTGCCAGGGCAAACATATGTTTAAATAAAGCAGCTTTTGTATCTCTTCAGTCATATGCTATAGCCCATCCTTGTTCCTTCTGAACACAGAGCTTCTTTCAGTTCATTTGAAAACAGCACGACTGTGGAAAGCACATTTCGAAAGCCAGAAAAAAAATAATCTCATAAAACTGTTAAGGCTATCTATGAAAATGCTTACGCGTGCCATGCGATTGGTTAGAAATCAGGATTATTTTTGACAGGAGACCCTTCCTTTCCCTCTTCTTTCCCGGCTCCTTGCCTTTTTGATCCATTTAGTCCTGCCAAGATAAACCCAACGTCATTTCCCATACTCTTAAGAAAAAGAAACAAAAAAAAAAGTCCTCCAGTTCTGCAAGAAAATAGTGTCTGCCTGAGCAGAAAAATTTTCAGGCTGAAAGAAAAGGCTATAAAATGATTTATACAGAGACTCGATATTAGGGAGGAAGCGAGAGTAACTTTGATTTAAAAGAACACAGAATGGAAAACTAAGAGTGAGAAAGAAGGAAATGAAAAGAAACAAAAAAAAGAGTGTTAGAGCAAAACCAAAATAATGTTTGTTTCTCTCCTCCTCACACAGCTTTACCTCACTCATTTCAGCTTGACCTTTGAAAGCATTTGAGATGGTGTTTGCTGCTAGGCTAGCTGTGTCTCTCATCAGTTCCCTGACAGCTTAGAGTAGTGTTTCTTCTGTCTTGGTTTCTTTTTTTCAATAGGTATTACCAGCTTTGCACTGAGTACGTTCACCATCCTTAGCCTCAGTTCACTGAACAGAGTAAACTGATGCCTTTAGTGACCCGAGATAGTCGTGTCATACATTCCAAGTCCTTAGGTGGCTCAGTGGTAGAGTGCTTGCCTTGCATGCATGAGGTCCTGGGTTCGATTCCTCAGCACCACATAAGCAGGAAAAAAAAAGCCGGAAGTAGTGCTGTGGCTCAAGTAGTAGAGCGCTAGCCTTGAGCTGAAGAGCTGAGAAACAGCACCCAGGCTCAGAGTTCAAGCCCCTTGACCGACCCCCCAAAAAAGAAAGTTATAGCTTCTATATAAGCCAATAAAAAATCGTAGCATCTGCCATTTGTCACCATTAATAGCTGAGGTTGGTGTATTGTACTGATACCCTTTTGGCATCTCTACTGCTGAGTCAGCAGAGATTCTTTCTCAGGTTCCCTAAAAATTTCTCAATGGCAGAACCTTCCTAATGAATGCATATTTGCTAACTCAGGACAACCATGTTTCTATACTCACTTTGGGCCTAGCTGAGAGGATGCTAAGGTATTTGCCAAAAAAGCCACATTAGACAATCTCAGAGGACATGAAGACCAAAGCTCTGTGCCTAAAATGAAGCAACATCTGGTTTGATATTTTGCCTTTAATTCTGCTTAAAACAACTGCTACAATTGTTAGTCTTAGTCAAGACATCATAGTGTGAGTTCTTTCTTTCTTTGAGCTTATTCCTCCCAGTGTCCCTTTCTCCCATCACTCTTGTTTTGAATTGTGTATGTATCCTTGACAACTGAACACTGGGCCTGTTCAGGAAAAAAAGAAATAGGAAAGGTTAGACTAAGAGTTTCTGCTCAATCATTAGCTTCTGCTAATCATGTTGGAGACACTTCCTTTCTCCAAGCTGATGCCTGTGGAAGATAGACCCCAGCAGCTGCTGTGAACTTGGCCCTGAGCTGCCCTGGGACACTCAAGTCACTTGCAAGCAGAGTAGAAATCCGTTAGCATTCTAAGCTGATAATTCCATTCTATTCTCTCTCATCAAACCTTTGATACTTAGCTATGTTTGGCCTATAAAAATGGCACTAACTGAAGGTTCAAACCTTCTCATCTCTTATTCTGATTCACTCAGGCTTGAAGAACAGAAGAGCAGAAGCCATAAAAAGAAAAAGGGAAAAGTGTTATGAGGGTGTTGACTACTAACATACTCTGATGGTTGATGGACATTGGTGGGTCAGTTACTGAGCGAAAGCAAGAAGCGAAGTTCAGTTCTTATGTAGAGCACAAGACAAAATAGAAGCCTAGGGAAGAACCTGATGACCTGCTTACATCTTTGCAGGAGAGTGCTTGAGAGCTATAGCTAGAGGTGGCCAAAGACGTTGGTTCCCAGCCAGCAGCTGGAGCCCCAGAGCTCATCAGCACTCTTCACTGGATTCTGAATGTCTTGGTTATTGCTCTCATGACCTATTATTTCATACTGTCACCAAGCTCCCAGAGGCCTGTCCAAACTCCGCCCTGCTTAACTACTAACAGATGACCTTGTTTCTTCTTAAGAAGAAAATGAACAAGACTGCTTCTGAATGTGCTTAAGCCCATCTCTTCTGTTTTATTGGATTTCAGCAGTACCCAACCTGACTTCTGGTTTCAATGTTAGTTCTACTTCCTTTGGTCTATTCAGGAGCAATGCTCTATCTATTGCTACCTGTCCATCCTTCTGTCTATTTTCACCTAGATCTATTTCTACTGACTGCTGTCCAACCTATAACCAACTAACCAAAGCAGGTAGGAAGTTCTAGTACAGAGGAAAGCAAGTATGATGTCACATTTAGTGATACTAGTGATTTCAGAGATAGGTAGTGGATGTAGAAAAACAAAGAAGAATAATAAAGTGAGAAAATAAGGTAATGTAACACTGTGTCCTTCAATTTTTTTCCCCTATTCTTAAGATACTTTGGGTGGGTTTTAATATCTAGATTAGCCAGTTGTTTAATATCTTATTTTGTAATTGTTTAATGTTAGTTCAAGATCAAAGCTACTAAATTAAAGACATTTAGTTTAGAGCCACCATTTTGTAAGATTAAAGAAAATACCCTTGATGGTATATTAAAGATTTCTCAGGTATGAAACAAACAAGATTAACATTTTCTAGTTTAAAAATTATTACATCTATCATTATCTCATATGAGCTTTTTCTGAAAAAAAAGTATAATGAGAAATAATTTTTTTCTTACATTATAAGGTCCTACAAATTCGAAATTCTTTGGGAAAAGAAATAAGACTATGTGAATCATCGTGGTACAACTGACCCTTAGTATTTATGGATTCTGTATTTGCAAATTTACCTGTTCCTTAAACTTTATAAGTAATTCCCAGATCAATAGTCACAATTTTATGGTGCTCATTTGAATATATCTGCAAGAGCCTAAAACTTTGAGTCACCCAAATATACATGTTCCAGCCTAGATCAAAGAAGGGGATACTTTATTTTCTCCACTCAGAAGTTTTTGTTTCCTTTTGTTTCGTGTTTAGTCAGTTGTGTCATTTGAGTTTTTTCCACTCAAGGCTAGTGCCTTGAGCCACAGTACCACTTCTGTTTTTTTGGTAGCTATCTGGAGATAAGAGTCTCACAGACTTTTCTGCTCTGGCTGGCTTTGAATCATGATCCTCAGATCTCAGACTCCTCAGTTGCTAGGATTATAGGCATGAGCCACCAGTGCCCAGCTCCTCTCAGATTTTTATATTGTAAAAATTCCTCTCCATAGTCTTATTTAGTGTCAAGTTTAGGTGTGTATGTTGGTATTGCTGTTTAAAATGTTTCCCACGTGTGGTACTGACGTTTTGTCCTGTGTTTGAAGCACTAGATGGTTGTGGCATGGTTTAATGGAACTGATTTAATGGAACTGATTTTCCTTCAAGTATGAGTTATTGCCGTGCTGGGTATGAGTTCAGTGACTATAAATCAATAATGTAGCCTAATTACCTTATATTTGAATAGCATTCCCAAGAAAATAAGGCTATATATTGACCAGTAGGAAATTATTTTTAAGCAGAAGCTCAGAGGATCCTAACCTTGTGTTTCAACACTGGTCCTTAAAACGTTTCAGTTATTTATGCTGCCTTCACAGAACAGGACCTGAGCGAGTATTCCATGAAGCTGGTTGAGTTATTTGTGGTAGTTGTTCTCTATAAAGTTATAATGAACACCGAAATAGAGATTAGTTTTAAAAAACCCTCCCAAAACTACCTGTTTAATTCATTGGGTATTAAATGAGGCACTGACCCTCTCTAAGAGAATCATAGCTTATTTATAATGATAAATTATAATTTATAATAGTATTTTTAATGACAACAGGGACTCCTGCTTTCTTTGAAGCTTCATGAGTTCAAACCTTTGGTTTAGTTTCTTATTAGTATATATGACTTCCATTTAGTATTAGATAGCCATCATTAAATTGTATTATTCCACATATTATCTTGTAACTATCACAATATATATGAGGTTGATAGTGATTAACTGTATTTTTCATCTGAGGAATGGAGCCCTTTTTAATGATTAAAGATATGAAGTGATGAGGCCAAGCTAATGAGCTAGTTCAAGTTTACCTAACTGGTTAACTGTTATTTGGGAGTTAGAAAAATTTGATTTCCAAAGCTTTCTATAATGATTTTTTAATTTTTTCCCAATAATATGTTTACTCTGGAGTTTAGGTGGAGTGGTATCATCTTATATTTGCTGATAAGTAACTATATATTTGGGGTTTTATCTCTTGTCCTTTATTCCTTTTTATTAGCTACATTGGTTGAACTCTAGGGCAAGTTTTGTGATCAAATTGTGACAGATCCAAGGGTAAATTCTGTGCACTCCAGAATCTTAATCTTCATTGGGTGAAGGTTAAGATGAGGTCAAGGTTAAGAAGAGAGATGAAGGTTAAGGGGAAGGGTCAAGGTGAAGAAAGAGTTGAGCCTTAGAAACAGGAAGAGGTTTGAGTTAATAGTAACAGAAGGGATTTGATTTATGTTCAGCCTTTTTCCTCATTGAGGGCAGTCAGAGCAATTAAGATTTCTTCTTGCTGTGCAGGCTTACAAGGTCTTTTTTGAAGTGGAATAAGTAGTGAGGGAGCTTCATTAATTAAGCTGAAAGAAAAGACATTCTAAAGTTGAATGTAAAAAATTGGGGACTTGTCAGTTTAGGTTGGGTTAGAATTGGTAAGGCATTGGGAACAGCAGTATTTCCAGCGCTTTTGTA